TCTGGTGTTACTACAAACAAAATGGGTTTTTAGGAGATGCATTTCACAGAGGCTTTTATCCAAGAAGCCGCAGAAACCGTGAGCTAGGAGTACCCTATTTCTGTCCTTCGTCCCAAATTCCGGGGTGCACAGTAACTAATGGGTCTGATCTGTGTGTCAGTGTAAGAACAGAGAGCCTGAAAATATAGACGTCATTGGAAAAGAAGAAAAGGAGCAGAAAGGAAGAAAAGGAGCAAAACCGGTGCTTTTTTCTCTCTTTAGTGCTGCCTACCCTTTCAGAATGAAAGGCACACCCCTTCACACTGCTGGCTGTGGGAGCTGGGAGCTGCGCTTTCCCACTCACTGCAGCCTGCTGAAGCTGGTAGTTATAAATGCTCAAGAGCTAATAAACACTTCTCAGGGCTTAGCACTGTAGAGCCACACAGTAAGGAATAGACAATTCTTTGTTATCATCATACATAGCCCCTTCCTTAAAATGCTCTGATTCTCAGGCAATAAATCAGCCTTCTTTTGCCAACACACTACAGCCCATCTATTTGTAATAAAAGCTATTTTTTCCACATTCCATATCCTCATGATGGCTTTATTTGCAACGTGCACACGCAGAAAGAAAACGCAAATCTTGCATTTCTGAGGAACAGTTATTTCTGTGAGCAAATACTCCTCAGAGCAAACAGAGAAGTCTTATCCTCATCCAGCCAGCACAGTCTTTACTTGCTCTATATTTCCCTGACACTGTCACAGCTCTGCACCATTCCATCATATGGTAGAGGTATTAATTCACTATTTCCTGCATTATACAATCCCCACTTCCTTTCCAGTTTTCTCACTCTAATGATGCTGTAATAAAAAACAGAGGTAATAATGAAATTGGAAAATAGCGTAATTTCTAGCTGGCAAAGAGAGTTGCTGGAATGGAGTGCAGCTCTGGAAGCTGCTGTGCTTCTAGCTTATTAGATGAGGGTTTTGAACAGCGTTTGAATGACTGCTTGAGAACTGCCTCAACAACTTGCCAAAGCAGCACTACTGGATCCCAAAAATAACAGACGTGGGGCTGATGGTCAAAGCCAGGTAGAGGAAAGGACGCATGGGCCAAAGGCGGTTATACTCAATATTGACAGCGAATTCCCCTCAAATAGGGCTTCTAATGAGGTTAAGTGGAAACTGTTTTGTGCTCCAAACCAAAGAGGGCTTCAAGATGCAGGGTATTGCTGTTCTTCAGGGGAAATCACTCCTGACTGCACGTGAATAAACAGGATCTGAATCAGGACACTAAAATGAAGTCTTAATGAGCAATTTGGAGGTAACATTTCAGCACACCCAGAGAAGCACCTTCCCCATATGTTCTGCCCCTCAGCTGATTTTCAACACTTCATTCATGCACCTAGGACAACTTGTTATACAGATGCGTTTTCCCAAGAGGAGCCCTCATGATGTGGTTAGAGATACTGATCATCTGGCTGGCTTTAGCTTCCAGAATTCCTAATACCAGGGGAAATAGCAATTCAAAAGCTGTGTGCTCTTGGGAAACACAGGAATATCCTTCAAACCTTTTTTATGGGCTGAGTTTGCCAACAGAGAAGTTTTGTACGTAATCTGAAATGCAATGAGTTGGTTCAAGCTCTGGGCAGGGGGTATCTGAAAACTGCAGAGATTGGCACAGATATCAGGATATCACTGAGAGCACAGAATTTGCCAACTGAAAGAAAAACCTGGGCATTTCCCATCCCTCAGAACTCTTCAGCTACATGGAGGAGATGGCGATTCGGATGCTCTTCCCAATCAAGCTGAAGAAATACCCTTCTGCTCCTACCACACATTGTGAATGCAAGAAAGGAAACCACATAAGATGGCTACAGTATGAGTGTTCTGACCCTCCCAGCCAGCTCACATTGGCTTTTCCATAGGCTGCAAGTCAGGTGTGGAGGTGGTTTCCTTTGCTCAGGAAATGTGGGCAGAGACAGGCAGCTGTCAACTGATAGTATCAAGTTGCATAATTAGCTTTCAATTTGTATGCCCTCCCAGAGACTGTATAGTAGGGGAATCAAATAGATCTGAAGATAAAACAATGGCTGTAGGGTCATACAGAACATGCAGTCCTCTCCCTTATCTATAGCTCCTTCTGCTCTGCAAGCACAGGGGCAGCCTGCATTCATCTGTGCAGGACTGACCTCTGGAAGCAGCTGCTTCCTTCCTCTGCATTTACCCTTCACCCCCCATCTGCGTGGGGAAAGGGTCCTGCATCATTGTGTGTGTGGCCACCACTTTGCACGGATATGCTAGCAATATTAAATTCAATCAGAGCAGTAAATTATCTCCATGCCATTGTCCTTTCAGCATCCCCGCCTGCTCACCACAGCACTGGCTGCAAGCAGAAGGATCTGAATCTTCTCCATCCTGACATCCATTTGTTCCATTGCAGGAATGATCCGCTGGCTCTTTAGATGTTTTTTTAACAGCAGTGACCAACACAAAATTTATTACTGGAATTTAAGCAGGCTTTGTGCACAAGTCACACCTGGATTCCCCCTTTTGCGATGACAGGATTTCCTGAATTTAAGATTCGACTTTTAGCTGGTCAGAGCCTTCTGCTGTTTTGGGTGGCAGGAATGCACTCGATTCCCATTTACACACTGGATTAACTGGTCTGAAACTCAGCAAAAACAAGGCAGCCAGCATGGAAAAAGCTCAAAACAGAACCAACGTTCACCCAGACTGATTTCAGTGCAATGCTTGTTCATATCGAGGCTTAGTGGATAAAGAAGACACAAAATGGAGATGTGTTCCACAGAAGGATGAACAGCCCTAGGACAACACTCGGATGCAAAGACTTGGAATTTAACAGGGATAGCCAGGAGGTCAGCCTGGATCATAATAACCACAACCAATATTCAGCATTGCTGTTCAAATCTAGAAACTGTGAGAAACTCTTAGAAACTTCTCCCCAGGGTATCTCCATTAGTTACCTAGAAACCCAGACTGGGTTTTATGAGCACAAAGTATGTTGGGAGGCATGCTTGCCTCCTCTGCTTTCAAAAAAGGAGCTATTCTCCCCTTTTCCCCCACACCCAGCTATTTCATTAGCTCTGAACTATTTACAGGCTTTAACCCTCCATCCTCTCTTCTCTGCAGCCTGGACTTCCAAGCCTCAAGAACATCCCAGCTCTTTTCACTTCCAGCTTTACGGCTTCACTCAGAAGTAATCTGCACAAGCTTCTGGTATCTACAAGACTTTCTGTGCATAAGAAACCCCTTAGGAGCCTAATATCTCTGCAGGCTGTCCTGAGCCCTCGTAGAAGCCTGAGAGCTGGCCTTTCCCTGGGGCTGATTGGCTGCGGGGGTAGGGAAACCCCACCAAACTCACTGGAATTAAATTCCAGACCATAATTGAAGCCAGGGAGTCTTTCACTTGATTGTCCTTGCCTTTTGTCTGCAACCTTGCTGGGCTTTCTTTGCAGTGGGTTTGCAAGCAGGGCTTTCACAATGCATTCATTTATGGGTTGTAGGAGTGATTTCCCCAAATTCAGCATCTCCACAAAGCACAGGGACTCAGCAGCACAGGGGGTGGCAAGTGGATCAGCCTTTCACCTTTGAAGGCTTTGGCTCAACTCCTGGCTCAGAGCAAATCTGATGGGCTCTGAGCAGCACACCCAGGGGCTGCTTCCCCATCACACCGCATCACACCCAGTCCCAGCAAACCCCAGCACAGGGGTTCCACTTCCAAGAGATGGGGACAGGACTCATGGTTTCACATGGCCACATCTCTTGTGACATCACCCAGGCAAGTGGCACTCAAGGCAGCTTAGTGTGAAGATGAGGGCAGTGAAGGTAATGATTCCCCATTTATCTGCTTCTGCTTGGGTTGAATGGTCTTCTCTAGCTTAAAACTTACTGGTCTCTCTCTTTGTCATTTTGCTTCTCTCTGTGACAGATGATGCAGCTAGAACTGCAGGGAAAAAGAAAGAAAAAAAAAAAGACAGTTTAACAACACTGCAGAATAGACAGGATCATCACTTTAGTTCAGCAGGGGCTCTGCTCTGCATGGAGCTGAGCTGCTGGGGGGATTTATTTCTTCAATTACACCACAAGGAAGCACAAAGAATTGATTCTGGAGAGAACCCAGGACCCAAAAATCATCTTGAGCTCTTCAGACTGTTTCTGGAGATAAGGCAGAGCTTGGCACTCAGATATATGTTTTTAGAGAGGAGAAGTTTTGACTGCTCTTCCTTATGTTTAACCGTAACCACCAGCTGTGAGTTTCTGCAACATTCTTCCAGGAAGAGCATCACGGACAAAAACACAGCTTCAAAGATGAAGGCATAGCAGTTTGTGAAAGTTTAGGAAGTGTCTGCCAACAGGAGAGCGGAGTTTTTCAATTTATCTAAAGTGTGGTCTACTTAGGGCTCTGAAGTACATGTAAATGGTTTGTGTGTATAAAGCAGAAATATTCTGGTTTGGTTACAAGCAGAGATGGGATCTCTGGGAGCTCTCAAAGATAATGTCTCCTTCCAGGGACAGCAGACCCACCAGTACTTCCAAGATTCCATAGAATGGCATGGCCTCCCAGCCGCCATGGGATGGTTGCCTCACACCAGATCAGGCTGCACAGAGCCCCATCCAAGCTGGCTTTGAGGACTTCTAGGGATTGGGTTGTTGGATATAGACAACCCTGAGCAAACCAGCATCACCAGGAGGTCTGTGGTTTGGAGGCTCTTGAACAGACTTACCCTGACAATGAAGACATCCACTGGGGCTGAACAAGGAGCGAGTTGTCCCCACAGTGCTCATTGCTGGTATTTTCTGAGGAGACAGAGACCACCATGGCTGTCAAACAGACAGGATCTGCTATTTTCCCTTTAGGTATTTTTTTTCCCTCCCTTCACAAAGTTAAAAAACAAATAGAAGGCCCTTTGCACCTGGTGAGGAACGGCTGTTTGTTTAGACAGCCAAATGAAGTCATCGCTGAGAAACGATGCCCTCACACACCCCTTAATACTCACTTGCCAGAAACCATAATGGAGTGAAATGACCCATTGCCATCCACAGCTGTCTGATATGAGCAGGAATGCTTCTGCTGCAGCTCCATCCCTTCTAACCGTACAAAAGAAAACCATCCTTATTGCTGTCATTTCACACACACACACACACACACACACACACAAAAAAAAAAAGAACAGGGGGAATTTCTGCCTAATTTCCTTTGCAGTCTGTCCTGAAAACCTTGCAGTGAAGGCCACAGCACCAGGATGGCACTAATGCCCAGTGGATCTGCCCTAAAGGAGCTCCATGCTGCAGCACCACTCTGCTCCTCAAGAAAAAGGGAAAACAAAGCATTTTTAATTTGTTTTAAAACAATGGCTTCTAATACCCAGACCATTAACTTGGCTACGAGGCTCTCACAGCAAAACTTGTTACGCACTATGTGTTTTGAGTCATTAAAACATATTAAACACGATTAATTGTGATGCCTTGCTATTATACCATTTGGAGACTCGCCACAAGCCCACTTCCACCCAACCTGTATTACGTTGTGAACCTTAGAGGCCTTTTAAACATCTCGTGCAAAATTCATGAAGGTGACAAGGAACCTGCCTACATTTCCAACATCTGGAGGGACTGGCGAGCCTGCCCCAAACCCCGTTCAGCCCCACCAGCCAAGCCCCTCCTTGAGCCCAGGTGATTACCATGCTCTATATATGCCTTCCTCCTAATGAATATAGGCTTATGGATACCTCATGCATTATTTACTAAGGTGTGCTTATTATGATTGCAATGATTTAAGGCAGTTTGTTACAGGCACAGCTCTGAGTGATTGCAATCGATGGAAGAAACAAGAACAAGCCAATCTGCATGGAACAACAGTGCTGGCCCCTGGGGGCTGTGCTTCCCTTGTTAACCCTTCCCAAACTGGCAGTAAATGAGGAGAGCACTTCTTTGACTGATGCAGAGTACAAGATGGAGGTGTCCTCCCACTCCCGCCTGAGGATGAGAGGTCATGCAGTGGTTTTTGGGGCTAGAATCCCTCCTGCCGGCACAGCATTCCTTGTGGCATTTAATGAGTACATTGTATGTGCCTAGAGCCTGCTCATAAGCATGCATCATACTTTCAGGCCTCACAGAGAGCTTCTCTCTTCTCCCTGGTGTAGACACAGAATACCTTTAGCTGCTCACTGTGGAGGTCCCAGGTTCAGCAGAAGGATGATGAAGGAGGAATCATAGGATATCCTGAGTTGGAAGGGATCCATAAGGTAGCAGATATGAGGCAGCTGCTGCAGACAAGTAGCAGGACACCGATCCCTGTATGGGAACAAGAAGGAGGAAGGGAGAGGGATGCAGAGTAGCTTGTCAACTCCTAGGTTGAAAGGCAGAGAGGCCACAGCTCTTCCCACCTGCTGCCTCCTAACATATGGAATTACAGTTCAGTATTTGCTCCGCGTGCCCCGAGTGCCAGACCAGACCTCAGAAGCACTCAGCGTGACACGCCAACGTTGCTGTAGTGTCCAACCAGAATAGCGTGAGATCTCAAATGCCAGGAAGTGACAACTCCGACTCTTTGTCCTCACAGCACAAAGAGGGCAGTTTGAGGGCAACAGGTGAGCTCTAGATTTACCCCAGAACTCCTCACACAATGTGAACCCAGAGATGCACTGAGGACACAACTGACCTCAGCTCGGTACCTTTGCATGGGAGCTTCGGATGGGACCCGGCGCACAGGAAACATTCATTACTTCAAAGGGGAAGCAAACAGGATGTCTGGACAAAGCACCAAATAAAAGGCTAATGACACAAATGGATATTTAATACAATGACTTCCTCTGATTATCCTATAAGGAAACACTTCAAATGCTGTCCATTTTGTACATCCTGCATCACTGCACTATGCTTCAGAGGCTAGGAGGGAATTTTCCACGCTATGCAATAGCAAGGTAGGCTCTGCCCTTACCTGAAGAGAGAAGGCGTGCAGAGCAGGATGCTCTACTATGCAGCAGGACCCTTCCTCTCCATCACTGCTTTTTTCCCCTCCTGCCCTGTCCCCAAAGCAGCAGGAGCTGTGGATGGGATCAGCACCGGGATCCCAGCACACGGGTGAAATCCTTAGGCTCATTCCTGAAACCAGGACCACCCCCACAGGCTGAGCCATCCTCAGGACATTCTGCGCTGGGGGGTCACTGTGCAAACAGAATTTAGCCAAAGTCCCTGTTTAGATTAAGTGAGGAGAGGATTTCATTAGCACAGCATTTGTTCCACATGCTGCTGTTGATCTCTCTGGAGAAAATACAACTGAAGCCTTTTGCTTTACAGCAAGAAGGGAAGGACGAAAGGAGACAAGAGTAAAATAGCTATTAAAAAAAAATTGTTTCCAGAGTCACAGTGACCTGATGATTGCTTTGGGTTAAACTAAATCCAACCCAAAATAATCGGCAAGGAGGCCAAAGAGAGCAATACGTACAAGAACTAAGGTTAGATGCTTTGCTGCTGGAGAGAGAAGCTGAGAACTCTCAGCAAATGAGTTTTTATTTCTCTTTGATGCTGCAAAAAAAAATCAAGTGATAATTGAGATCTATATGGATACTGAATTGTAAAATCACAGTACCATCAGAACACAAAGCTGAACGATTGAGCAAGGTTCCTCTCTAGTTTAGACTTACAGGATTTGCTAGCAGATATTTTGCTCCAGTGCCTAGCCAGCACTTTGTTTAAAGAAGGTCTTTGTTAATATTTTGATTACGTTAATAAACATTATCAGGCAAACCTGCTTCTACCCTGCAAAGGAAGACCTTGCAAAAGTCAGAAGAGAAAGTTCAACAGTCCTAGAAAATCTCAGGCAAAGAAGTAAGTAGGAGAAAAATGATGCTAATTCTCTCAGCCTATGCAGCCTTCAACCACATCAATGAAATTAAATATATAAATAAAATAAAGAGTAATTAACAAATGCAATTGCAGGCTATTTTTAAGACACTGTCCTTCCCTTAAAGGAAAGCTATGGTCTGGGGATGAAGAGAAATATTTTCGAACGCCTTTTGAATCTGACTTGCAGCAACTTACGCGTTGCTTGTTGGGATTATTCCACCAAAACTAATATATAAATAAAATCCTCTTCTTCATTTCTTAGGAGCGTCCCTGGAGCAAAACTTGTTTTCCTAGTGTGATAAAGATGCTTCAACCAGTAAAGCCATCACTGATAGCAATTAAATGCAGGTATCTTCAGAAACAGTGAGAATTATTGTTATTATTGTATCAGAGATGCAATAGCAGTTTCCTACCCATCCACAAGTTGTGCTTAAGCTCAAGGGAAAGGACTCATTCAATCCCATCGTTGCTGTACAGCTGCTTTAGGAAAAAAGCCAGTGAGCGTTCCATTCCAGGCCAAGAAAAATCATTTTTAGGGATGAGATAAGACAGAATTTGATCCTATGTTTACAGCTCCCTTCGCAACCAAGGCCAAGCTAACAGACCTGTGGGAAAGCCCTGTTGTCCCACAGACAACATAGGTGTCACCAAGAAGACAGCCTGCCCCAAAAGGCTGCCATCTTTCTTCCCCAACACCTTCCCTAGAGCAACACCAGGAATTAACTGACCTCATTATTTGATAGCTCAGAGCTCCCTATTGATTCCCACGTACTAAGAAATTACAGTTAGCTGCAGTCAGCTTTACAGTGGGACAAAACTGCTGACAGCAAACTTAGCAGCCAAAAGGGAGACCCATAGTCCTGTTACCTTATCAAACAGATCGACAGCAATAGGAAAACCAAGCTGCACAACCAAAGACCACCTTCACTGAGATTGAGCATCATCTTCTCCCACAAAAGCTCCAGCTTCTATTGCCTTCTCCAGTCAAAGAAATCAACTCCCCTTCCTTCCCTGATGAGCCATTTCAGTAGGCTGATGCTCATTAGCATCCACTGCCAGCTGCAAGCAGCTCAGCAGCAGAGGAGGTTAAGTGTCACTGGAGCTGAGCAGCAAGATTGGACCTGCCCTTCTCCAGCTGCATCCGTTGTGCTCTTGGGGCTGGGCCAGGCTCAAGACAGAGGATCTGACGGGGTGGAAAAGGAAATTCTGTGCATTCCTCATCCGTAGCCTACATGCCAAGTGAAATGTAGTGATGAGCAGCCAGACCGGAGTGCTCATCTGAGCCTTCTTTTGAGCTGTACAAATTGCAATGAGCTTGAAGCAAAGTTATTGAGTTGGGTCCAGAGAAGCCAGGCTGCCAGGGCTGTGAAATCCTTTGCCCTCTAGTGCTTGTGCAACAGGTGAAATGTTAGGAGGGGCATAAATCCTGGGTATGCCCTCCCAAGCCTGAAATCTGGCTTAGGAAAAACACCTGCCCCAAAATGTTCTGAGCATGTGAATTTAATTTTCTTTGACCTTTTCATCTCTTCTCAGTCAGGCACAAAAAATATTCTCCTCAGAAGAATTCCTGCCTGGAAGTGATGGCCCTTTTTTTCCCCAAGGCCTTTGAAAAAGAACAAGTAGCTTGTCTTCTAGTGGTCTGTTGCTGTAAACAAGCAGCACTATCACTAATTTCTCCCCAAAACTTGTTAAATAACCCCTGTCTTTGTCAATCTGTTTCCTGAGAGGGCTTGTGGCCTTGCTATTTGCACCGTTCAGTGCGGGACCTGCTTCAAACCATATGGCAGGTGAGTGACCTGGCTGACTTGGTGGTCACTGCCAAAGTGTCCACCTGCTTCGGTGTCCATGTGCTTCATATATTCATGCAGCCTAAATGACTTTTGGTTTTTAAACTCACCTGCTCCAATACCTTATTTCAGCTGGATGCAATTTCCTCAGCATCCCCTCTTACTCATCCCTTAATGCAATCTACAGTGTTGGTCTCTGCTCAGTGCTGATTTCTGCCAAAACAACTTTCAAAACTCAAAGCCACATTCTCCAGACCTAACTAGCCAATGTAAAGCAATGGGATAAACCTCATTAACAGTTCTGTGTTCCTTGGGTAGAGTGGAAACTTGCCCAGAGAGGAGAATGCTCACAGGTGCAGGACATGGTGCTCCTGCGGCGTTGGTACAGGGGCTGGTCTTTGGCTAAGGGACAAGGGATCATGAAACCCACAGCTTTCCTTCCACGTTTCTTCCCAGAAAACACTGGTGATTCAGGAGGAGCCTTTGTAGCACATGTGCTGAGGGTAAACAAACACGCTACTTTTAGAACAGTTTTGCAAACAGGACTACAATGCGTGGACCGAACCCAATGTCCTAAAAGGGTTTATGCAGCTCCGTGTCCTGTGCTCCTGCTCCTTTGACCTTACATTCCTAACATGAACACATACCACACATTTTTCAAAAAGCAACCAGCAAAATGGGATATTTCACTGCATTTGATCCTCCCTGGGAGAGATGAGAAGAGAAACTCTTAATACACGCTAATCCCATCACCAGGGCACTGATGAAAGATGTTTGGGATCACAGCACCTGCGAGGGATAGGGAAACCTACGGACCCTTCATGGTTCCCACCCCAGCAGCGGCTGCCTGTCAGAGGTTGGTGAAGCAATTCTCAAATATAATTTTTCCACCATAAATAAATCCATAGCAAGGCTCAATCCCGGTGACAAAGCAAGGAGCTCTGTCATTCTGCACCATTGCATGTCTGTGTCCTGCAGGTCACATCAGGCAGGGCAGCAGCCCGGTGCTCCAGGTGACGGTCAGTAACTGCACATTGCTCTTCACGTGTTGGGTCAGATCCCCTCCTCAGCAGAATCCCTTGTGCCTCAGAAAACAGCTTGCAAAAATACAGAAGGAGATGATTTGCTTTCATGGGAGTTTGATAAGCCTCTTTTTTTGCGGGAGAATAAACCCTCTAAAAAAATGGAATTCATCTTTTTTTTTTTAGCCCAAATAGGCACAGTCTTGATGAAGGGAGATACTTTAATGGGAGGAAGAGAGTCAGGCAGCAATTTCCATCCCGGGGCTGGGGCAGGTGGCAGCCACAAGGCTATGTGCAGACTTGTCCTCATTTTTGTCCTTTGACCCACTCCCCTCCGCAGCCCAGCCTTGTTTACCGGCATCTCCTGTTTCCATTAACCCTCCGAGGAGGTGAGGGGAGATCAGTGTTGGGACTTTTTGCACGGGATGTGCGACAAACAGCATGGGGAGACTGGGGACAGTGTTTATCAATTGGGAAGAACGGAGAAATCCACTCAGTGTGGGCTTGCTGCAAAAGGATCTGCCACCACTTGAAGGCTTCACTGCCCATGGAAAACCACGTCTCAGAGCTTAAATCCAAGAACTCAAAAACAAAGGGAAAATACCCTCCTGCTGTCAGTCACTCCATGTGATCTGTGCCATTCCTGGCCAGATCTTGACTGCCCAGCCATGGGCCAAGCCAGTGCTGCACTAGGAATGGCCAAATAAATCATATACTTGTAAGATCCATAGAATGGCTTGGATTGGAAGGGACCTTAAAGCCTATCCAGCTCCAACCCCCTGCCATGGACTGCTTGCCCCCACCAGCTCAGGCTGCCCAGAGCCCCATCCAACCTGGCCTTGAGCACCTCCAGAGACGGGGCATCCACAACACTGAGCAAAAAATTTTCCCCTGACATCTAAAAAAACCTTGCTGCAGGAAGCTAAAGTCTAAGAAAAGCCCTCTTCATGTTTTTGGTTCATAATGAAAGATTAACTCCATTTACCTGCAAGATCATCGGATTTTAGTAGGAGGATATTTGTATTGTGGACTTCAAGTTCTATCTTTTTTTTTTTTTTCTTTTCATTTCTCTGTGTGAAATTTATCAATGGCAGCAAAAGAAATTTCACCTTTGCAGTGCAGCCAAGTGCGAGGCAACAAGCCTTGGCTTGGAAAAATCCCACTGCCCATTTTACAAGACAAATGCTGACAGTGAAACTCATTACAAGCTGCTGCACGGTTGTTCAGGATGGATGGACGGACAGACAGACTGTACCTCCCTCTGGTCCATGTGTGCTTCAGCCCAGCTGCACTCAGCCTGCCTTAGTAGAAGGTATATTTGTCATCAAAGGCACCTTAGCAATAGCAAGGCACACAGATTTATCATTATTCCTGCCAGGCTGGGTTCAGCCTCCCCACCCTGCGCCTGGGAATTACCAAGTGCCACAAAGAACAAATTGAGGATTAAAAGGACCCCGCAATGTCCAGCTTTGCTGCTGGCCCTGGGGACGGAGCCGTCCCCTTCTCTTTGTCTCTGATCTGGGTTTGGCAGGTGGTGAGCCCCTCCCTGCCTCCCCGCCTGCATCAGGCGGCTTGATGAATATCCATCTAATTGGAATTAGGGATTCTCCAGACCAGCCCTCCAACTGGAGAAATTAGCTAGTTTATTCCAATAAAGATGCTAATATGGGTGGCTTTGTGAAGGGCGAGAAATTCTCATTGTCATTCAGAGGCAATTTGTAGCGGATTTGAAACCTTTGAAAAGGTGATGTGCTGGTGGCTGGGTTTGTATAATACCCATCCCGAAATTCACAGCTGAGCATTCTTCCCCCTCCATATGCTCAGTGCTGCCCAATTTGTATTCCCCCCACATGAAGGCACCGGAGCGGAGCAGTGAGCGGCACTGAAGGTCCCATGAAGGGGCACCCCTTGGGCACCCCCAGCTTCTTGGAGCTCCTTTCTCTTTTCCGAGGGTTGGTCTATGGCTTGGCCATCACGTTACTCTACTTCAATGTTATCCCTACAATCTCTCTTCAGCTGTAGCCTTCTGAAATGAAGACTGCACACGCTGTAACCCAGTGGGACTGAACTATCCAGAGAGGGGTGGGTTCTCCAAACTGTGGGGCAGATGATGCTTGAGGGACCTTCTGGCCAGACCTGCCTTCAATGCAATGTTTGCTGCGGGAAGCCTAATCAGCATGGTTAGAATGAAACACTTCAGCAAAGTGCAACCTAAATTCACATCAAACCCAAATGCCTCCCCAGGCTGTCCTTCACAGATTGCTTTAGGGAACATCATGATAGCAAATGTTTCTCTAATCTCACAGCAGCCTGGAAATGGAGGCAGAGCTCTGTGTCGCAGCGAGGGACCACTTTTGCTGAGGGAGCATCCTCTTGCCATCCGCTGCTCTTCCATCTTGAGATGTAACACTGAGGAATGACAGCAGAAGCTGTCAGCAGCTGGGGCTGCTCCCAGAAGCCCACTTGACTCCTGTCCATTTCTGTATCTCTGTAACTTCAGTTCAGTGGGCATGGTGGTGATGTTGGACTTGATGATCATTTCCAACCTTAATGATTCTCTGATTTATCTGTGCACAGCCTGGCACTGAAATTAACAGTTCCTTCATTAAATCCATATAACCAACAGGGTTGCTCAACTTTAAACGTCACTCTCAGCCAGATATTTCACCTTGAGCCTAAATATGAGTGTGGGACAGCCACTCTGAACCCGAGGGATCATTCCTATGCCTGCCACAAGCACCTTGAGGTCAGATGGTTTGAAGCACAGGAGAAGGAGGAGGAATGCTTCTGCTCTCAGTCCTGTCTGTGGGACAGAGCCCCATTGAGGTCAGAGCCCACAGGTTGCTGGCAGGGACAGTGGCACACAAGCCATGTGCCCACATGCAGCTTTCAGCAGCAGTGGCAGGCAGAATTACAAATCTTGTCCTGGACCACATCCTAAATATTTTCTCTAGGAATACCTGGCAACAGCAATGACTCGTGATGTTTCTCAGTCACCACGCTGTGCACTCACTGCTCGGGCTGCAGTTGAACCGCTATCATTTTTCTCTGATGCTTAAAGCAAATGTCAGATTCAAAATAAGAGAAGAGTCTTAATACATGGCTGTAAGGGGGAAAAAAAAAAAAGAGGTTTGGCTTGGTCCCCATCCAGGGCAGTTGATACACCAGGGAGGTTTTGCTTGGCTGTGCAGCCTGTCCTGCCGCGGGTCTCTCGTGTGACCAGGGCGCAGATGAGGGTTGTATGGGAGAGCAGCATTGGCTGAGCTCAATGCTATGCTCTGAAACAAGCTAAATTGAACTCTTAAAACCCCCTGAGTAGGGATTACAGAATCTGGTTGTGATCACAAAGCGCTACAGAATTGTAACTGTACATTTCTTTTCTTATCTCACTTGTAATGTTGATCTGAATGTTAATGAAAATGGGGGAAAAATGTTTCTCAGACATTTTGGCCAGCACCGAAGCAATGCTTTGCATTATCTTCCCAGAAAGAATAGCTCTATTAGCACAATAGCTTTTTTTAACCTCTCGAAAATTGGAGTAAAAATGCTGTTTTATTTTCTT